TGAGTATTCTGATCTTTCAATTCTTGACAATAAACCCAAGACCAGGTTCATACATACCACTGACCATTGCAAAAGCAATAGTAGCACAATGCAGTATATGAGCTAATCGAGATATGCTTGGAATGGGCTAATTTAAAATCTAATGGACATTAACAACTTTAATAATAATAATAAAAAACAAAATTTTGTGAGTCAATCAATTTTAAGGTGAGCAGGGTCTGTTCTAGTTTCTCTCCAGAGAAGGGAAGAAAAATCCACCACCACAATGTACTCTTCATTAGCAACCTAACAGGGTAAAAATGTACCTTGCAACAATGTCTACTTTTTTTCATTTTGTGAGAAATAAATTTGACAACACATTAGGGAAAGCAGAAATAAGCATAACATTTTCAATAGATTTAAAAAAAAAAAAAAAAAACTTGACAAGAATATTAGTGAATTGTGTAATGATTACAACTTGTTTCAGGAGAATTTATTGAGGTGGCAGGGGGCAATTGAGACGCAATACAACTGACTCGGATAAAATGGAAAGTTTTCTTCATTAGGTGAGAAGGGGTAAATTTGGGTAACTAATATTGACGAGGGATGTAGCCGAGATAGCAGACACACAAAACAGAAAATTACCCCCCCCCCACCTAGCAAGATTGTCCTGCATTTTGAAAAATCAAAAAAAGGAAAAAGATGCACTTGATCACGAATGGCTGGAGTACATGTGAAGGTTTGAATTTCTCACCTAAAGTAAATTATTTTTATTTAAATTTATTTAGCAATGAAAAATTAACCTCTAAACCTCCACAAAATGGCTAAAATTTGGTATAGCATGATGGAAACATGCTCCAATACCATTTTATCATCAAAATCAAAGTACTTTTTGAATTTTTTGTAGAACATTTGAAATTTTGATTAAAAATCTTGGCTTTTCTTGTGTCAGATTTTAATGAAATTTTCAGGACTTTTTTCACAAATGAATTATTTTAGAAATTTTTTTTTTTATATTAGAAAATCTTAAAAAAAAAAAAAAAAAAAAAAAAAAAAAAACAAAACAAAACAAAACAAAAAAAAAAAAACAGGTTTCACCACCTTAATTTTATGAAAACTTCAGAAATTCAATGTGATAATTTTTAGTGACTATATTAGCTAAAAGCAGAATTCTTTGAAGAATTTAAATCATGTTTTTAATGCAAAACCAAACCCCCATTTTACTGAAAACCTACTCTGAATTGAAAATTAAAAAATGCAATAAAACAAAGACATTATTTAGAGAAGCTTTTAATTGCTTTTATGAATAATATATATTAAGGACAATATTGTTAAAACAAATTTCAATTGGTTGGAAGGAGTTTTTTTTTTTTTAAATCATTATGGAAAAAGAAAGAAAAGGCGCCATCTACCAGCATAATGTAATTCTCTTGATTGAAAAATCTTTCAAAAATAAAGTATACTTTGCTGAAACTGAGGAATATTATTGGACTTAAAGTTCAATTAATCCAATTTGAAACAAATATTACTCTTATTGCTGAAATGCATTTTTTAACACAGAGGTAGGTGTTTATATAAAGTGTTAAAAGCTTTGATAGCTTTATTGACAACCAGAAATTTAACTATTTTTTTTCTACAGGGGATATACCTGTAAAAATTACTTGAATCCAATGTGAGCCCCCTTTTATAATATTTAACTAATCAGTAATCTTGAAAATTTAGAAAAATATTCTCTGTAATCTAATGTTTTATTGAATTTTAGGTACTTTGGCTGTTACTGTAAATTTATATTTACTATAATTACAGCACTTATTTCCTGATAATGCTGTGTATGGGTGCCTGTATTTACAAAAACCTGCAAGTTTATACACACAAAATTGAATTGTAGTAAGCTTTTCCATTTAGGATTAGTAAATATAGTTTTTACTTAACAATACCACCTAACATCTGCAAAATAAGACAGAATTTTAAAAAATTTAAAACTTTATATATTATTCTAATTAAAAAAAAAAAAAAAAAAAAAACCCTGTAAAAATTCATTATTCATCAAAAAAAGATTTTTTGTCAAGATAATAGTGTTCATAATATATCTTATTTATAAAAGCAGCTAAAGCTTTTCTAATTAAATAATGTTAGTTCTATAGCAATTTTTAATTTTATGATTCAGAGCAGATCTTTGGTATCCCCCACCCCCATGGTTTAAACTCCTTAGTTCTGTCTATAACCAATATAAACATTAAACTGTACAAAAATGAATTTCTCTAAATTTAATAAAATTAAGTAATGGTGAACAGATTTTCTAAAAATTTGGAGGTACCTATTTTTTTTTTTTAAATTGCATTTACCCCAAGCAAAACAGTAAAGCCACAAGGAGTTAGTGGGCATGGAAGTATTAGAATACAGAAACCTTACTAATGAGCAAAAGCAAAAAGAGTAATTAGAAAAACAGTAGATAGCAATTGACATTGCATTTAAATTTTTGAAGATTGAAGTTGACGGGAAAGCATGGAGCTGGAATGGAGTTCTACAAGTGAGAAAAGAAACTGTTAGCATAGAATTATCATTACATCTAACCAACTCAACTGATGAGACCCCATTGCCAGCCTAGTACTAAGCTTAAATTCATAAAGTCTAGGTACCATAGTGAAGAGCTTATGTGAACAATTACTATGAAAGTATTTATAGAAAAGGCACAGAGCAGCAACATTGTGGTGGTGGAAGTAACTGAAGCTGAGATGCCAGACCAAGACCAATAATATTGCTGATTATTCTTTGGATTTTATCAAGGATCTCTAGATATATATATAACAGAAGTACCAGACCATGTGGCAGAAATATTCTAAGCATGGATGAATGGTAGACATATAGATATTAAGACAGACTCTAGGAAGAAAAATTATCTAGCACAATAGTGAACCAACTTTCTTAGCTAATGACCTAGCAACAAATTCAATTAACATTAGCCCGAGAAGGTGCAACAAGTTACTCTCCTGGAAGGTCAGTATCAAACATTATGATAGAAGGTAGAAAGAGGTCTCTGAAAATGATTAATAGGAAGCAGTTTAGTTTTGGAAGTGTTAAAATTAATAAGATTGAATGTTGTTTTTGACATTAGCCACTAATTTGACCATATCGAACTGGTCAGAGTTACTGGTGAGACAGGAATAAATGGTTGTGTCATTATATATATATTACACACACACCACTACATCCCAAACTATCACGGATGGGATCAAAAAAACTAAATGACCATAACAACAATTCTGAAGCCTGAATATATAAGAAACTTTACCATAACAGCTGCCAATGATAGTATATTAGTAAAACCCCCAGAAATTAAAAAAACATGAACTTAAGACATCAGAAATAATTTTAACCACAAAAATGCTTCAGATGAAAAGTTCACAAAAGTGCTTTAAGAGATACTAGCTCACATAGACATGCCTTAAATTTTTCAAATTTCTTAAGCCAATATATTTACCGAGCACCTGAGTACAGTGAGAGTTTTTATGATCAGTTTTTTTTTTTATGTAACAAAATGGGGGCACCATACATGGGTAATAAAACATGCATTTAAGGTGAGCATTAATACTATATATAAGTAAATTTCTCCTGAGAGCATTAAAATCCTTGCCAAAAAAATTCAGTTGTTGCGCTATACATGAAGTTGGCTTATCCATCAGCATATACAGCTATAAAAATGAAAGACATTAAATTCACTTTTGTTTAAGAACACACTAAAAATTTACATCACTTAGAATATTCTTTAATTTTTTTTTTTTTTAACACGGAAACATTTAATATTTTAGAGTGATCTCTAATTCAAATTTGAATGCTTAATATTTTTTTCTCAACTTTACTTTTTTCTGCATACAAATACAGGCTTCTAAATAAAATTTTTACATTTTTCCCTGAGAAAAATGAAAGAATGAAATGCATTTGTATAAAAGGGTTTTCCTCTTTTTTATCTTTCTGATATTACACTATTGCTTACAGAATACAAGTCCCAAGTGTCACTCAAAGTAGATGGTTACTGAATATTACCATCTACCAGAAGTGCGTATTATGAGGATAGGTAGGATAGCATCTGACTCCAGATAAAATGGATAAGATGGCAATGATTGGAGAAGCATACTCTTGTAAATCTGTTACACAAAGCAGTGGGTTTTGTGAAGCTGCCTGAATGGAACCTCCATATTACCAATGGAATATGAAGGGAATGAGGAGGCTACAACTGTGTACGTGGCCCGACAGATCTTAGCTGTAAATGTCTGAACTAATAGTACTAAAGAATGTAGCTTGTCAGAGCACTTTTATGTAAATAGCAATAGAGTACCAAGAGGCTTGCAAGGTTTCATCTGTGGGGAAGTGATTGTAGAGTGGAAAATAATCATCATTCACAAAGTAATGTAGACACTTTTGGATTCTATCAAAACCCTGTCAAGTCTTGAAAGAGAAGATTAGGTAGTCCATGTCCAGTAATTAGTCCTATATATATTATATGGTTGGCTGTTCGTCACCAGTATGTGATTTATACTGCAACTATACTGAGCAGACCTTAGTTACAGTTTCTAGCATTATCAGTAGTTGGACAAGGCCAGTATGCTCAAAGCCTCAGCTACAATGGCTTGTGATTCGAATCCAAACTTCATGCTTGGAATGAGAATATTCTCATTACTTAGCCACATGCACTCTCTCTCTCACAAACTTTTACAATTCCCAAGCTATAAATAACATGAATTGTCAGCAGTTAGCAGATTAGCAACATCACTAACCATGAAGATCAAAGAAGGGAAAAAGAATATCTGAAGATTTCTAAACTTGTACAATTAGAAGTGACAAGTTTATCAAATTTTAGATTTACCAAGGGTTTACTTTCAATATGAAAAAAAAAAAAAAAAAAAAAAAAAAAAAGCACTCATTATCAAAGATAATATTCTTACGCATAGTATTTTCATCAATTAAAATCCAAGTTTTTTTCAACAATAGATAGGTAGTGAAAATAAAGACATACTACTTACTTCTTTGTTCAAATAAGAAAGTAAGGATTCTGTTTCATTTAAAAGTGTAACAACACATTTGCCTCGAATATGAGTAGCTGGCAAAGTCTCAACTTGTCTTGACAAGAAAAGCTCCCGATGCTTTAACTGGTGACGTTGTTTTTCAGTAATATCATCATTCACTTCTTCAGAATCATCTTCAACTGATGTAACTGAAATAAAAAAAATAAAAAATAAAATTTAGAACAAAATATTTATAAACAATCATAGAAACAATTATTAAATTGCAAATCATAAAAAGTAATGGTGTTGGATTTAGTATATAAACAGTATACCTTAAAGTGCATAAGTATATTTCAAGTGTTTATATAAGACCAACTAAGTTACAAACCTGCTTCAGTTTGTTTTTTAAAGAGAGCCAAATCTAGCTAACCCATACTTTTAATATTGCAACATGACTTTACAAATATTTATACTTACAGCTTTTACATATTACTAAGCATTTAGTTTATAATTCAAAAGGGAATAACATTAATAAGAATTAGTATAGGTTTTGCCTGGCAAAATAAAATGGATTCCTAGAAGAATATAGAGTGCAAATTAAGATTAAACTACCATTTTCCTACATCAGACATGAAAAAAAGTCCAATATAAAAATTTATTTAAAGCAAAATTAGAATGATTTAATTGTTGTTTTTCAAGCCAGCCAAGTAATATAGCAGAAAAAGAATTTCTAGTTATTAAAAAAAAAAAAAAAAAAAAACCAACATGCAATATTCTATATTTGGTATTAAAGGACAAAGATGATGGTATTTGGGACATAAGATTAGAACCCAAAAATTAATTAAGAGTTAAGGAGTATGAATTTCTAGCCCATTTTAAACAGTCCAAATATTGAAAGCACTATAAAATTTTTTTTGGGATCATAGAGAGAGAAAGAGTCAAATGTTTCAGACTCAGGCGCACACACAAAACAGGATCCAACACTACTCTGTATAAGCTCACATGATGGTTGAAGAGGGCAGATTCACTGAAAGAGGAATTTGTTTACATCAATCATTTGGGAACATGGAGAAAGATAACTCTAGAGCTAATAGAAGAGGTAAAGAAAAAAAAGTGATGGTCAAGTATACATACCCGCTGAAGTAGCTGTAGGAGGAGTTGGTGCCGAGGTTTCATGAGGAGAATCTTCAGAAGCTTCTGAGAATGGAAATTCTGTGGAGAAAATATTAAATGTCAATCAATTTTTATACTGAAAGAAAATACAGTAACAATATTTGAGTGGATAGGAGAATCATTTTGGTCAAATTAATTTACTGGAAAAAAAAAAAAAAAAAAAAAAAATACAAAATTTTTTTTCCCCAGATTTAAATTAAATTTTCATTAAATTTGCAATCCCTTAACAGAGAAACATTACAAATTATGCCAAAGTACCCTATGCCCTGCGATATCAGTTTTTAACTTTAACAGATTATCGCCGAAAAGAAATATTTCAGGTTAGTAAATCACCCAAAGTGATATATTCTCTATAAACAATAACTTACATATATAAAATGAGAGGGAAAAAAAAAAAAAAAAAAAAAAAAAAAAGTGCAAAGTAAAAACTATATTACCCCTTTAACATATTGAAGCAGTTAAAGTAATTAACTTATGATAAAAAAGGGGAGATCTTTGACATTCTTATAAACAGTTTCTAGTCCCGAACCACTTCAAAGAAATCTTTCACAAATCTACAGTATTATTCTTCAGTTATCAAAGTATTTTGGCCTGGATTTTTTCATTTCAGCTAAAATAAAATTCTAGTTTTCATTTAATGAATTCTTTGAAGAATTTATAAAATATACTGACTTATAACTTTAAAAAGAGCCATTATCATTTCAAGAATTGCTTGTACAGTACTAGCTGTATTTTCCAGATGTGGAATGAAGAAAAAATTTGAAATCAAATCTAACATTTTCCAATTATCCAAACAAAACCATTCTAATATTTTATCTCAGACAAACATTTTCAGAATTTAGAAAACCATACTATAAACATTTGATAAAAATCAGTTCAATTAATTAATAATTTTCCTTTCATACAAAACATACATTTGAATTGTCACACATTGAAACTCTCAGAAATAAATGACTAGTTCAAAGCAGACAACACCGGGTATGAACACCTACATTGGCAGTACTGTTAAACATAAATACACTAGAAAATGTTGAAAAAGATGACGATGATATTGCTCATGTTGAAGTGCAACAGCCCCAGTGCTGAATTTTAAGCACCAAAGCAATGATAATGTTTAACAAATGTTAAAGTTGGCTGCACTGTCAACCAGAAGCAAAAAAGAGAGAGACTAGATGAAAAGTGACACTTTTTTCATTAAACTTAAACTGTAAAAATAACTTGAACAAAGGATTTGAAGATAATAGAAATGTTAATTTATTTTATCTTTTGTTTTAATAATTTAGATAATTACCTGAAATGTTGAATTATCCAAACATTTTTCAACTCCTGTCCCAAGGTGTCCAGATAATTGAGGAAGTACTGTACTATGCATATTTGATACTTTGTTGCTACCATATTTCAATTGATAGCTTTTCTTCAGTAAAGAGAAAGGTCTCACAAAAGAAATGACTAAAATACTGACTAGCTTGAACCATTCTCAGCAATTCAAGTAATACAGCCAATACCATTCTTAGCAACTAAAATTTGCTATATTTATAAGAGGAGACTGTGCAATATCAGAGTTAGAGCATTTATAAATATATATGTGAAAATGAGATTCAACACTACATGGTGACTGTCAGTTTTACACCTCACAACTTCAGGATTCTATCTTTATATATGAAGATGCTCTACAGTTATCTCTTTGCTGAGTTAAGAAAAACAAGCTGTAGTGAAATCTACACTGGTCTGATTTATACCTTACCAAGAAGTTATACATTGTTTCCTTCAATTTCCTCACTCTCCAATAAAATTTCCTATTGAAACTTCATCCAAGATAGGGTAATATAAACCCTTTTCTTTCTAAATACAAAATTTTCTATTTTCCCTCTGGATATGGCCTTTTAAGGTTTTTAAAACCTGATTTTAAGGGGATGACCAGTTCATTCTTTAGTCTTCTCCACATTTGCATGGCATGTTATGTAATTTTTATGTCAAATATTCTTAATAAAGAGATTGTGAAGAGTGGGTTATGCTATTAAAAAAAAAAAAACAAACACTGTTCTTATATGCGATAAGGTCATTTCCCAGTCCCAGGATTATTTGCAGCATTGTATTTGCAATATGAAAGTTATCATACAGAATAATAAAAAACATGAACAGAAAATAATAATTTAAATGAACTAATTATTCACTTATGTAGCATTGCATAATAATTTGTCAAACTTCAAGCAATCTGGAATAGAGAATTCTCTTTAAATCCTACAAATATAGAATCTACTATAAAGAAAAATAGTTCTAGGTGAAGATGTTGAAAGAGATCTTTGATCTGGACAATCTTATCAGTTTAGATTCTTGTGTTGAATCCCTTTTTCTTTATGTTTTTAAGTCAATATTACCTTGTTCAAAAATTACTTCTTGCATTGAGCAAAAAGAAAAAAAAAAAAGATGAGTATTTAAATGCTAACCAATGTTTCTTTCCCAGAAATTCTAAACCAGATTATAGTAAACTAGTTGAAAAACTAAAAAAAAAAAAAAATTCCTGGAAATATTGCATGTATAGGTATTTATTTCATGTTAGGAAAGCATTCAATTAGTAATGACTTAGACAATTGCAAATTCTTTCAAAATATAAATCCATATATTTAATTAAAAAAAAAAAAAAAGTTTCTGAAGCTTTAGTAGTGTTAAAAGTTAAAAAAAAGTGTAATGAATAAATAGTTAATTTTTCTTAAGAACAATAAAAATGAAGCCCAAAACATCTGAATTTGTAAACCCATGCACAGAGAATTATACAAAAAAAACAAAACAAACAACATTCATTATATAAACTGTATTTCCTTTTGAGTAAAATATAACTAGTATGTAAAGAAAATAATTCTGTATAATTTCAGTTCAATTAAAATAGATTTGTTTAATGAGGGAACTAAGAAATAAATTATTTTTAGGGAATGTATTTTTATAAAAAAAACAAACAAACACAATTTCAGCTTTTTATCACAGTAGTTGATTTAAAGCATTTGGTAATTTTCTGTGCAAACTTTATTTTCTGTAAGAGTAAATATTGGCATGAAAAACTAATTTTTTTCTTTACTCAAAGAGAATACAATGAGTAAATTGACAAATGTAGAAAACTAACAAGCAAAGAGAAAACAATGCATGATACAAGCTGCTACATTTCATATTGTTCTAATCTAAAGAGTGACAATTTTCTTTTGATTTGATGCACAAATAGTCTAAGATTGATGCAGTTTTTATCTCAAGTGATTCTTTATATTTTAAATGATACTACTACATTTATGTGCCATGTTACTTCAGAATGTGGGTGATCATAAGCTCTTCACACCTTCCTATCTCTTGTATCTAAGCATAACCCCTCCCATTCTGCTATCTATTATATAAGTTCATTAGGTACTTGCCATTTCCCTCTGATCCTCTTGCATTTAATGTCTTCAGAGTATTAAATTCTCCAAGCCCTCTCTCCTTACATGCCCCAGAAATTTTTACAGTCTTATTTGATTAAGTACAAGTGCCCTTTTCGTTCCCATTTTCCTCACATGATTTGTTCACACAGGGCCCAAGATTAATATTAATACCATCTGATAGAACATTAGTTTCTACAACTGATTTTGTTTTCTGAGATGATGCTGGGTTAATACAAAATCTTTTAATGAAAATTTCATGATTTCTCACTAACAGTGGCATTTTTTATTTAATAAGTGACACAAACACACACACACATCCTTCCAAAGGATGTTTTTTTTTAAAACTAGGAATGAAATCTGGATGAAAAAGTTAAAGGACTTAAATTTAGACATTTTTGTTATTTAACTCTAAATACAAAAAACATAGGATCTTTAAACAAGAAAAACGTTTTAAGAACTAATTTTGCTTTAATGTTCAAAGCAAGAAAATTAATTTTCTGTAAATTTTTTATTAAAAAACTTGAAAGAACTATTAACAGACATTGATGGTTTATTCTAGTCATAAACTATATTGAAAATATAAGAATTTAAAAATTGATAAACTATTGATCTGGTTGTATAGGTTTCTAAGGATCCCCAACCCACCACACTCTAGCCCAGAGGAAAGAGGAGGAAGGGGGAGAGAGAGAAAAGAAAAGCATTTTTAAGCAGGAAGTACCCAAGGTTAGCAGGCCAAACTTCTCAGTTTGTAGAAGTGAACTGTTCTCTGGGATTAGATTCCAACAAACTGCTATCTCTGTCATAGTTGAGCTAGTAGAGCTCATCTCCCTGCTTCAGACATATTTTACTTTAATTTCTTTTACAAATTTAGTTTGAGCCTGTTTGCTTTCCATTTTGAGTAGACGATATTCACACCGAGTAATATGCCTGTATTTCCCTCTTTACTGGAGTCCTATTCATTAATGGTGCTGGAGGTAAACAGTTTTCAGGTTGGTGTTATTAAAACTGATAGTCAAGGATCTGAACCTTAGAAGAACTACTGGGCATGCTATTTCACCAGCAGGTGTATAATACTGGGGCTATTGCACTACCATTTTTTGCATAGGATGTGGACTATGCAGTAATTTTCAGTGAAACCCCTTGTCACAGGATAAAGTGTACAGTTATGGTAAGTACTTCCAGTCAATTTAATCCATGTAGTGGATACATTTACTACTTGTGGGTGTGGCCATTTTGCTACCTTGTCTGCATCTGTTCCAATATATCTAATCAACATGTCCACAACAAAATCACACAGAATAACCAAACAGTCCCCTCCCCCATAAATGTAGATCTACACCAATGTGAGGGAGGTCTATGATCCAACTTTCCAAAAACTGAACTCCATCTTCATGGAGGTCAAACCTGACCTCATGTTCCTGTCTGAAACATTCTTAGTCTGTCTATTCTAGTCCAGGAATCCTCATTCTCAGGCTACTTTCTCCTAATAATTAAACAAGATCCTCAAAACTGCCAAGTCTTCAGCCCATATATGGCAGAGACCCCAATTTCCTATTCACATGCTTTCATGCGATCCTTATACGGTGTCTTTCACAGGATGATTGAATGGTAATGTTTGACAAAATAGTTGATAAG